CACAGATGGTCTCAAATTTTTCTGAAGAGCCGTCTGATATGTGGTTGACTTAATGGTGACTTTGCAAAAAGTTGCTGCAATTATGTGCCTCAGCATCAGTTAATCCTGCTTTGTGAAGTTCCTTCACATCCAATTTGTGGCTCACATGTTGTTGTTTCAAGTCACTTCCACTTGTTTGCAACACCGCCGACTCCTTGTGAAGTATTTAGTAAAGGAAGCTTCACAACTGGACTTGATGCATAGAGGGCATCCTATCAGAGGATGCCATGCAAGCTTCTGTCACTGATGCTTGTAGAAACAATCTGCATGCTTAGGTGCACTACCAACTTGTGGTTGAATCAACATATTTTCTTTTTTATTGCAAATGTAGCAAATATTATCAGCTCATTTCTGAAAACAAAACCAGTCTTTGAATAAGCAGGGTTTAGCACTAAAGGGTTTTATCTCTTGAGTTTGTGTGTTTTCTCAGCGAGTGAATGGGACAGTTTCCGGTTGCTGTGTCCTGATGGCTCACAGGCTCCTCTGAGCCACTACAGGAGATGTAATCTGGGCCGTGGTCCAGGAGGAGGAATGGTCACCAGACATAATTTTCGCAAGGTTGTCCGCAAATTTATATCAGCTGTGCAGGTAAGTATGTGGGCATAGTTTCACGCTTTTGTTCTGTTATTCTTCAGCCTTTGCTCAACTTCAGCTATGTACTGAAGTAATTTCTTAACTGATTTCTTCAGACGCAGTTTGGTCGACTAGGAAAAGAGAGGCAGCGCTTCCAACTCTTCAGTTCGTCTCTCTCTGTGGAGTCGGACCTTCTCTTAAGAGATGCGACAGATAAACTGGTTGTTCTGCCGGACAACATGGACATTAGCCAGGTGATGGGGCTGGATTATGTTGCGCTCCTCAAAGGACTCGGCCACGAAGGTGCATAAGATCAGCCTAAACTTTTCCAAAGTGAACAGGATTTAGCGCGTATAGCAACTCTCTGTGAATTAGTTGCTTGTGTTTGCAGGAAGCTCTCTGCAGGACAGCGTTGTGCGCTGGTGCTGCATCAGCCATGCTGAACAGAAGAAATGCGAGCAGTGGGCTCTGAGCATAAAGTCCGACCCACTGGTGTGCGTCAGGGCTGTGTCGATGCGGGACTGCATCGAGAAAATCAAGGTAAATCATCCCGAGTCACATGAGCGTCTAGAGTTTATCGCACTCTGGTTTACAAAGTTAAAAACAAGACATGTTTTACCTCAGAGGGACGAAGTGGACGCAGTCTCACTGGATGCAACACACACATTCATTGCAGGGAAATGTGGCCTCGTTCCGGTGGTCACTGAATATTATGGTAAGACTGTAATGATGCATCTTTCATGGTTTTTGTTTTGTTCTGTTTCAGTTTGAATAGTTCTGTGTTCTGAAATGTGTGCTGTTGTCAACTAGGGCAGCGATTAAATCATCAAATTGTAGTTTTGGTGTTTGTTAATGGAAATAAACGGATTCCTTGTTGTATTTTCTCAGGAACCGAATGTGCTCCTGCTGAAGGTTTGGCTCACTTGGAGACGGATGGTAGGATGAAGACAAATCGTAGCTCATTGAGCTCTGTGTTTTATTTAGTTTTTTCTGCTGATATAAATAAATGCCATCTTCACATTGAAACCGTCACTCTATGCCGCCTTTCAGTGCTGCCCTCGGTTGTGGGTGTAGCTGTCGCAAAGAGCTCCAGCAGGAACGTCTTCATTGGGAATCTGGGCGGCCGCCGCTCATGTCACGGTCACATGTACAGCCCCGCAGGCTGGCTGCTGCCATACAGACACACGTTAAGCCTGGAGCACAACAGCAGCGCCCCCTGTGATCCAAACCAAGGTGCAGAGTTTTTAATTTCCTCATAAGCGCTCAACTTTCAGACCTTTGCTCCTCACTCTAGGGAATGCACTTCCACTTTAATCCAGTGCTTTTTTTTTGTTTGTTTCTTTTGTTTTTAAGCTCCCCGCTGACTGCAGTTTGCCGCTTTCTGTTTGTACAGTGTACAATACGGTGTTTTGGAAAGGCTGTCTCCCTGGAGCTCAGGGGAATCTGTGCAAAGTGTGCATCGGAGGGACAGGTGAGGCAGCAACCAAACGCTGTACCAGCAACCACAATGAGCGTTATTATGGAAACATGGGAGCCTTAAGGTACACAGGACTCCAGGTTTTTCTGTCGTTTTTTTTTTTTTTTTATGTCCACAATAAAGATCTGTTTGAATTCTTAAACTAAATTCATCTTTTTGTAGAAGCATAATTTTTTCTGATCATATCAGCCACTTTATGTGCTTTTACATCAGAACCACTTTCACCCAACCGCACTTGCAAATATACTAAACAAAGCTTGATGGATAATGTTTCATTGTTTCATTGAAACATTATGCTACTGTAACAAAAATAATAATATTTTATCCCTTTTTACAGATCACCATTCGTGCAGCCTATAAGTGTGGAGGGCACTGTCATGTTGTTCCTGTTTTTACCCTCAGAGATTGATTTAGTCCATTTTTCTGTTGTGTTGCAGGTGTTTGGTTGGAGATCCAAGCGGGAAAAGCTACGGTGATGTGGCCTTCCTCGAGCACCACAACCTTGTCACTAACATCCTCGGTGAGGTATTGAAGATGCTACATGTGTTATGAAAGCAGTGCTGCCAGCTAATTGACATTGTCCCTATTTTATTATTATTATTTTTTTTATTTAACTCTAGCTTTGAATTCCAGCGGGTGGGCGGAGGACTGGACACCGTCTGACTTTGAGCTGCTGTGTGCCGACGGACATCGAGCTGCTTTGTCAGAATGGGAAAGTTGTAATTTGGGAGTCGTCCCACCAAACAGCGTCATGACACGGCCTGTGCTCACTGCCAGGGTGTATGACTTCCTTATGAAATCGCAGGTCAGCAATTTTGTTTTCATAAAGTCTCACTAATTTGAATTCTGCTGGGAGGACTAACTCATCAGGTTCTTCTTGCAAGACTTGAGAAAAATCCAACTCTAATTAACGTGTGGACCTGCGACCTCCTCATGGTGTGCCCCGCATACCTCCCAATGACCCCTGGAGACCTCATGACCCTGCAGGAATAAGCAAGTCTAGACGATGGATGTGGGGATGGATGAATTGTTTTCCTATCACTTTACAATCGTGTACTACTTTATGTTGATTTTTTTTTTTTTTAAGACTAAGATGGTTCCTTTTCTGTAATGGCAGGAAACTTTGGGAGCCACCTCAAGCACCGAGTTCCAGCTCTTTGAGTCTCATCAGTACGGGGAAAGTGATCTGCTGTTTAAAGATGCAACGCACTGTTTCGTTCACACAAGCCACATGGATTACCGCTCCGTCCTAGGAGAGGAGTTTTACGCTCACGCAGAGGCCGTCTTTAAATGCACACACTCCGGTAGGACATGGACACACTCACACTACCTGGCTGTGGTGAAAGTTGGATTTTTCTTTCCCCTATAATAACTGCAAACTTTGTGTTTGTTTTTTCTTGCAACAGATATCTTGGAGTTTTGTAACCAGGATGTGTGCAGCATATTCTAATGAAGGAAACATAAAATGGCACCATGGTTTTTTCAGCTTCTGAGATATTTAGTTCTTCATCCATACGAATGATGGGTTCACAAAGACTAGAAACCATCACATGACTGAACTGAAAGACGCCATCACTTCTGCTTTCATACTGGGATATTTTCTAACTTAAATAAAATCATTCATCTATGTATTCTTCTAAAGCAGAAAATATATATGCATATGTTTAATAAACATGTAAAACTATCACAGCAAATGTTGACAGCAAATCAAAAGATGTGGCTTTTTTTTTTAATTGAATTATTGTGAGAGCTTCTCCATCGATAAATAACAAAATGTTTGTAAAACTCCTAAGTAATTCACACATAGAAGCCAAAAAGGAAGTCTATAAATTAAAGGGCAATAAAATGTATTTTTAAAATTTGATGGTGGAGTTACAGCAAAGCTGGGCTCCTGGCCTCACTGTCCTAAAATAATCTCAAAGATTTTAATACATTTTAAAATAAAATAAAAAACTAAAAAAACTGATTGTAGAAAATCGACAAGTTACATTGTCTTGACCTAACTTGATTATTATAGTGTCTGTATACTTTAGCCCACATGTGTCAAACTCAGTGTGATTAAATATTATATTATCAATCATATCAATGCAGTTTTTATCTGTTTACTGCCAATTTATATCAGTCAGTCCCTCCAGTTTCTTGAGAATTTAGCTGATATATGATTATAGTCCATGATTTATACAGCGAGTAAATAAAAAGTCTCGTTTATCATTAGTTCCTGAAGGGACTGAAAAGATGTTCAATAATATTATGTAATTTTGAGAATTCATTGACATATTAACAGTTTGTGAACAGGTTTTATCAACATGTTCTGGCACAACCGACCCTTTAAGAGCCTTCATGATCTTGATTTGGCCCAAAACGAAAATGAGTTTGACATACCTGGTTCAGCCAGTGGCAGATTAAAGTCAGGGTTATTTTGTTGGTCACAAGCTGAGAGCCTGGAAATAGCTACTTGAACTGTCGCATGTTGCTTTTGAACATATTTAAAAGTCTAATAAAATGACAATTCCCCGACTCAAGTACGGCTAGAATGCCTAATATGACGTGATGCTCAAACGAGGAGGTTAAAGCTTTATGCTTTGGGTCATGTCTTCTGAAAAGGGTCCAGTGTTGGTTCTGGATGACAAAGACTGACAATTCAACAAAGAAGGATTAAAGAAGAAGGATATTAAAGTGATGAAGTGGCACAGGTTGTTGGAAAATCTGCAGAGAAACCCAAAAGACTTTCGGAGTTTCTGCCATAAGGAATGGTTCAAACTTCTTCCTGAAATGAAGAAGTTTGAACCTTGTGACAACAAAAACAGTCTTCATATCGTGCTTTCCCACAAAGAACTTTATTTTCACTCAATCATAGTCAATCGTTCTTTTTATGTTAAAATTAGATTTTTATCATTTTATCAATTTCTTTTTCATCAAATTAAAACCCCTAACCTGACTACGACTCCCAGACTCCTCTGCGGCTGTTTGGTGTTACGTTGAAATGGGTACTTCCTGTGTTTTGCAGCTGGTTTCCATGTTATATCAGCTGGTTCTGCTTTGACATGTTACCTAACAAAGTTACCGGTTACTGTGGTAACTTTGCTCATTAAAAAGGTAAAGTTAATAACTGTATAAATATTTGCGCGCTGCTTTTTGTTGCTGTGGTTTTGAACTCTTTAAACAGTCGCTCGTCGTTCAGATGCGGCTGCCGCTGCGCCTCTTCCCGTCTCTCGCCGCTCCTGTCCGGACAGCCTCCTCTGTCCCCGCCGGGAAGCTCCATTTCGTCCCCGCTTGCAGCACCGCCGATGCCCGCTCTCTGGAGCTGCTGCAGGACTTTGTGTCCCGGTCCAGGCGGCTGTTTGTGGTCACCGGGGCGGGTCTGTCCACGGAGTCGGGCATCCCGGACTACCGCTCGGAGGGCGTCGGGTTGTACGCCCGCACCGACAGGAGACCGATGCAGCACGCGGAGTTCACCCGCAGCGCCAAGGCCCGACAGAGATACTGGGCCAGAAACTTCGTCGGGTGGCCGCAGTTCTCCTCCCACCAGCCCAACTGTGCCCACCGGGCTCTGCGGAGCTGGGAGGAGAAGGGGAAGCTGCACTGGCTCGTCACCCAGAATGTGGACGCCCTCCATTCCAAGGCAGGACAGACACGGATGACGGAGCTGCACGGCTGCGCCCACAGGTGAGGAAGGCTGAGCGACCGGAGGTGGGCAGGATCCCATAAGAAACTCTACATATCAACTATGATGCAAAATATCTGGTTAATTGATACAAGTAGTTATGCACGTTAGTTCTTAATTGCCTTGAAAAGGAAAGTCCTCAGGGATCATGTCCTGCACAAAGATATATATATATATATATAAATGTTTTCCCCAAAACCAAATGAGATTCTAACCTAACTAACTTTTTACACCAGAGCTTCAAAACTGAAACGGTGTTTTCAGGTCGTTAGTTTTCTGAAATGTCATTTTGGCCTCAGGTGAGCAGAGGATCATCTTCCACATGTTGTGACCCCAGATGATTTGTGACAAACTAGACCGAACTTCTTTTGGCTTTTCTTTTACCTTTGACTCTTCCATAAAAAGATTGGTCGCACAGGATTTTATTCAGGAGTAACAGAAAGGGAGCCAAATACAAAGTAAAGTTCCACGTTTTAGACTTTGACGAGTAAACTATGTTGAAAAGCCTCCACTCTATGTTCATTTGTCAGAAAAATTCCCGCTCTTTCCAAAGCTTGTGTTTCATGTGTTCTCAGGGTAACATGTCTTGGCTGTGGCAGCATCACCGCGCGGGAGCAGCTGCAGAGGCGGTTTGTCTCATTGAACCCGGATTGGAGCGCTCAGGCCGGAGCCGTGGCTCCGGATGGCGACGTCTTCTTAGAGGACGAGCAGGTCCTGAACTTCAGGGTCCCGTCCTGTGAGCGGTGTGGGGGGATACTGAAGCCAGAAGTTACATTTTTCGGAGACACGGTGGCCAAAGCAACAGTGGAATTTGTGCAGGAGAGACTGGCAGAGGCGGACGCAGTGCTGGTGATCGGCTCATCGCTGCAGGTATAGAAAAGCAACCAATTCGTGATGTCAGCCGTGTTTTTCATTCAGCTTTAAGTTCCATCCTGTGTGGCTCTGCAGGTGTACTCGGGATACAGAGTTCTACTTGCAGCGAGCGACAAGAAGATGCCGATCGCCATCCTGAACATTGGACCCACAAGAGCAGATCACCTGGCAGAGCTGAAAGTGAAGGGCCGCTGTGGTGAAGTTCTGTCAGTCATCCAGCCCCTCTGACCCCAGGGACGGGTTTAGAGTCGTCTCTGCTCTGCTGACTGAACTAACTCAGACATTAGTAAAGGATCATCAGAATGAAGAGACGTGAAAGGACCGACTAGAGAGCAAGAACTGCCGTCCTGTCAGCACTTTCCACATCGCTGGAGAAAAAATAAAAACGGTTTCATAAGTCCAACTTGGGAGTAACGGGAAAGCTCGAACTGTGTTTGGTTTGTTTGTTTGACTTGGAGCTGAACACGACGAGGAGCCGTGTCACGTCTTAGAATGTACACAGTTCTTTAGAGGTGCTGCTTTAAAATGCAACGTTTCTTTGTCTACAGCGACTTACTTATATTTGGAGAAGAGCAAGTAGCTTCCAAAGTATGAATACTTATTTCCGAAATGCAATAATTTAAATGCAACTGCTGTCACAGTGCAATTAAAGACTTTAAATTCATTTAAAATGTTAAATTCCTTTTAGATTAAAACATACTACTTATTTTGTTTCCATTGCTTTTCCAATAGTTATGAGATTAGTACAAATAGCCAAAACAAAAAACACTGAAATAGAAGATATAAACCCAAAATGTTACATTAGAATAGTAGACCACTAGACAACTTGAATGAAACATTTAAAAGTGGCTTCTGTTTAAAAGCAAAGTGATGGATTTTTATGGCATCCAAAAAGTTCTTAAATTGTGTTTTAAAAAAAAAGGAAGACATAAGAAAACGTCGGATTCAAGAGCATTTTATTGAAACCTAACTGTTATTGAATCACAAACAGATGGCGGGAAGAGTGACTGTGGACTGACTGATGCTGAGATCCTTCATGATACTTTGCTGCTCAAATCTCTCCTGCAGCCTGAACCTCCAGTTCTCCAGCTCGGTCTGAGTCTCCTCCTGCAGAGCGGCGGGAACACTGAACGAATACAGACAGAACCTGTGAGCGTTGTCGTCCGTCTGCCATGCTGCTGATGCTGTAGCCACCACCAGCGGCGTCATGGACAGACAGTTTTCAAAGCTCCTGGCCTGATCAAACCAGTAGGTGACTGGGTAGCCCAGTAAGAGACCAAATATGGTGCACAGATTCCAGTCTTCAGATTTCTCCCCGACATAAAGAGGTTTATCAGCTTCGTCGTGTCGCTTAAACTCCTCCAGAAGGAGCAGAAACTCTGCCGCCGCACCTGTCAGCCATCTTCTCTGAGCGTTAGAGAGGGTGGGCTTCTCCAAAGACACGGAGACATTTACAACAGGCGGCCCACCGTCACGAAGCATCTTCTCTAAATTAGATCTGAGGGCATCTGCGTTGATAATGAGACCGTTTCCATTTAAATCCAGCGCGAGGAGGGATTGAGACACAAGCTGGAGAGACCGGAGGCAGCTGAGATACCGCTGGAGCTGTTCGGCACAGGCAGCGTTGCTGTCGTACAGGAGAGCAGGCTTCAGCCCCAGATCCACAGTCAAGACCTGAGCAGCAAGATTCAGACTTTGAGCCACGGAGAGACCCTTCCTACTAGAACGCAGAGAGTTACGGGCTGCAGAGACAAAGAGGTCCTCGACTGGCATGGTTGCGATAATTCAAATGAAGTCTTTTGTGGGAGAGTTTGGGGCAAATTCAATCTGTACGTCAAAGAAAAATAGAGATGACACCTGTGCACTTGTGTACATAGGAGGGAAAAAAAGATGTAATGTAAACTAAAACATTTTGTTTTCCAGGTGTTTCATCGTGTTCCTCACTTCTTTGTTGGTCCAAGATTTCTAAAAGGAGCAAAACCATCACTTTAGTCACTAAGATAACTTTTTTAAGTAAACATTTTCTGCCAATGTTTCAGAATAACTGTAAACTTTTACGTAATGCAGAAATGTTTCTTACCATCATCGTGTCTTTGGTCAAGATCAGCAGCAAAGGTTAAGTCACCGGCTGAGGAGACATCAAGTCGAAATCTGAGAGATTTCTGGCGACCCAGACTCCAGCGGCAAACAATCCCAGGTTAACCAGAAGATTCCTGAAGTGAAGAAAACAAAGAGCGAAGCGCATCAGAAATGTTTGCTTTTTAAAGACACGTTAGGTCTAAGCCATTATGGACTACTTTAGTTTGACTGGATCGAGGACGTGGAGGCTACGTCTAAAACCCAGTTCTCTGTCTCCATCCATATTATTTTTAGGGATAATATGGACACTTGTTACCTTATATCCCCGTGAAGATCGGAAACCCAGGGGGTTTAAGTTCATGCATCCCAAGTGAAAAGAGTTCAGGCATCATAACTTCCCGAGAGTTAACGAAGGAGGAATGGATATTATAGTAGAAATTACACATAGAAAATATTTACATATCACGTGGAATGCATAAAAATGACAAACCGTACGTATATAACGTGCTTTAGCTGACTAGCATTAGCATCACAGACATGTCTATGAGCGGCACAAGGACAAATCCAGCAGCATGAGCTAAAGCTAGCCGCACCATTAAACTCAGCACTAAATTACCACAAAATAACACACTTCTCACCTCCTAAAGTCGTTTCTGTCTGTCGCAAAGCGATACGTCGAGCTGATCCACACAGACACCTTGGATGGAAAACTCCCTTTCACGTCTGAATCGCTCATCGTGCTAGCAGAAGGAGGCAGCGAGGAGCGACGACGGAACCAAACGTAGGCGTCTGGGAAGGGGACGAGTTTAGTTGTGGCACAAATAAGGGTGCCGGTTAGGATTAATCTCCGCTCGTGTCAAAAAATAATATTACATGACCAAAGATGTCTGCCACCAGATACCGTCGGTTTCTTAAACTGTGTGAGGAATGGCCCCGAGACGAGACCAAGAAGGCACGGGACCTGGGGACATTTCTGCGGCAGACGGTGGCTTCTGCGTTCCGCGAGGGTGAAAACACGCAGGTAGAAGGTCACGCATACGGCTCCATCTCAGATCAGCGCGAACAGAGGACAGCCTTGTTTTTAGCGTTAGTTGTTGACACTTGAGGGAGCTTCTTTATTATTACTCTGACAGCACTATTAATAATCCGGCTACAAAAATAGATAACAGAAGTTCGACTTCATAGAAATAGTCAAATTAAAAAAAACTATTTTTAAAACTACCTTTTGCTCAAGTTTTATCCTAGATGAACCAATTAACTGGATGTTTTTCTTTGATTGTCCATTCTTGGTTATAATCAAGTCAGATACTGAAAAATTAGGTTTCATCCTTTAGACACATGGCCTCAAACTGAGACAATTTGTTGATTAAAAATAATATTAGAAAATCAGCAGTACATATTTTTCTCCCTGGAAGTAAAACTCAAAATTCTTCCTAATTGAAACCAGCAGGTCAGACCTTCCTGGAAACCGGATGTTGGTATTGGCCAGGAAAAACCTGACCAATAAATCTCTTCTAGATTGATTTCTGAATACTTTACATTTATATATTTAAGTAGTACTGACTCCAGTTCTTTGCAGCTGTTATAGTAGTAGTAGAATTATCCACATAATACAAATATAGGAAACACTCAACTTAAACATCACTGGTAATTCATAAATTTGGGGAGGGGGAATCAAATTCCAAACAAAATACATAAAATTTTAGCAACTTGATTAATTACTTAGTAAAAGGTACATAATGTTATTGTGGATGCCCATTGATATATAGATAACACATTTTGCTTCTTCTTGTGTTATTTCTCCAGCTTGCAGATCCAGAGAAATGTGACCAGATGTATGAAAGTTTGGCTCGCATTAATGGAAATGTATACAGACAGCGGGTAAGTATGCATCCAAATATACTGCAGTGATGATAACTTAATTCTTTGATAACTTATCCCGGCTTAGTCAGTAATCCAGTTCTGTAGCTCTACAACTTTTCACAAAAAGATTTATGCTTCTTGAACATTTCACATTTTGATTTATAATAGCCACAAATGAAATCTCTGTTATTGACTTTTTTGTCATAGTACCGGTACAAAGTATTGACCGTGGAAGTCTGCATGCAAATACATATCACACCTTTCAGATTTTTTGTTTTAAATGCAAATCGTATTATTATTTTCCTTTCACTTAACCATTCTGAACTACTTATTGTTGTTCAATCACATAAAATCTGAGTAAAATAAAATCAAGTTAGTGGTTGGAATGTGACATAATGTGAAAAGTAAATAAATACTTCTGCAGCTGTGAAGATGATAGTAAAACAAGTTTTATTTAAGGTGAAGGCCAAACTAGGTTAATATGTAAAGAACCTCCACTTTTAAAATCTATTATAAACACAAATACCACACTTATAAGAGTGTCATATACTCTTATGTGACAGAGTATATAAGAGCCAGTGTTTGTCCAAAGAAAGTAAACCGACTAGAGTGAAAATATGTTGCGTGTGTAGCCTGAAAATTTCACATTTATCTCCTAATCACAAGTAGAAATTGTGCAGAAAACAGAAAAATGTAGCAGGAAACTTTGTTGTAAATATGTTTGTGTGTGTTTTAGTTTCCTCGTGTGAGAGACACAAGTTTTACGGGAGTTACAGTGGAGGAGTGTCGAGTCCTTTTGTCAGGTATGAACTCTTATTACGATGTGCGGAGTCATCATTGCTCTTAACCAGTTCCACTAAAATGACCCTGAAAAGATGGTGATGTATTTTTACACCTTATTTTATTATTGTTTTACAGGCAGTATGCAACAGAGCATGGATGAGGAAAAGAAGGGTTTATGGAAGTCGCTAATGGAGAGATTCTCCTCCAAATCACCAGAAGACGGTCCAGAAAAAGCTCCTGAAAAATAACATTTTTCTTTTCTATGTTGCTTGTATAGAAATAAATATTATCTTTGTGGATTTGTCTTTTTTGGACTAGTGAAAATCTTTAAATCGTCAATGTTGATTCTCAAAAACAAAACCAGAACACCTGAAACAACTCCAAAATTTTTTTTTAACTGCAATTGCAATACACTTTCACTTGATAGGCAATAGTCTGGCTCTTAATATATCACATGGAAAAATCAGAAACTGGAAGGACATGGAGGAAATTAAACATAAATAATGGAGGACACAAGAAGGGAGAGAGAAGAAATGCATTTAAGACAGCATATGTGGGGAAAAATTAGGAATAACACCAAAAAGGAAGGAAGAAATGGGACCTCGATGTGCTAAAATTGTTCTATTCACTCAGGCCCACAATGAATCCTGCTGAATCTTGAAAGACTATGAGAGATTACACTGACTTTGAGTGATCGCCTTAATGTTGTGAGTTTTTGGAGAAAAGCAATCCCATCATGTCATCATTTTTCGGTAAAACACTTTAAGACCGTGGCATTTTTTTTTTTTTTTACTCCAGGTTATCATGCTGCGAGAATCTCACAATCCATGTCCAGATTTAGCGTTACGTGATGGACTGAAATGCGTTTATCAATATGTCAAAGGTATATGCACTCTTTGCTTTATAGATCTGTTAATGTTTATATTTACAACCAAAGAAAGTTCAGCTCCTTTTGCAGAAATGTTTGTGATTATATTTGGGACAATCTTCTTGCTTGCAAGTAAGGATTCTAACTTCATAAGTTTGCTTACAAAATCTTATTTACAAATGAGAAAATGCCATTTTATGGCAGTGAGTACATTTTATACAGTAATATTAATGTCAACATGAAAAAAAAAAAAGAAATCCATTTAACTCATCCAAATGAGTTGTAATATGTATTTGTGAAATACGCAAAGCCTAATCAGCTATTTGTATTTTACTCCAATGCGTGCATAGTCAGGCCTGTGACAGATTGGAAACAAACTTTAAACAAGTCAAACACATTTACTGCAAAACCGAGAAGGAGTTTCTGCACAGGGAAATAAAGTCCTGAATTAGAGCTCAAGTACCAGAAGCTACAACTTATTCTAACAGCAGTTAACACCAGGCTGACGCCACGTTAGAAACAGGATGTATAGCAGCTCATTTTAAACTGAAAGAGATTTTATGCATTGTTGAAACACAAAGTCTTATTACTCCAGGCTTTAAGAAAAGTGGCCCTGGTTTGCTTAAAAAACTCATTTTATTTACACATGAAGAGAATGCCAATTAGAAGACCAAACTTTTACATGCATAAATGTTAATCAGAAAAGCATTATTCATAAAAATGTTTAGCAAAGGAAGCACAGACATATAGCAAAACTCAGTTCCTATGTGGATCCTGAGTTAAGCTGGATACTCAAAAGCCTGAAAAGCTTTAATCAGAATGTAGTATAACTTCATTTGTTCATTAGTTTGGAATAGTCACCATTTTTAAGAGTTAGCTTGAAGAGCATGGTGATCTGCAGAACAAATGGGCATGATTTACTGATAACATGTAGATAGGTCCTTGTCAAACTGATAGACAAAACCTGAATTATAAACTCAAAAAAAGTTTGGCTGTCATTTCTGCAAAGGAATTTTATTGTGCTGAATTAAGATTTAGCAATGGAAATCAACACACTGCAATTTGCGTTCTACTCTTCCTTTTTCTCTGGGTTATCTCTCCATATGCAGTAGTTGAGGGCTGTGGCGAGGCACAGCCAGGACAGATAGGGAGCGAGGAGCAGGGAGGCGGTGCGGCTGATGGGATACCAGGACGCCATGGTGGCTCCAACCGTCCCGGTGAGGAACACGATCTCCACCAGGGCCTAAATTACACAAGAGGAGGGCATCTCACTGATTGGACTGGATTTCAAACATTGATCAGCCTTTACATGTATCAGGCAACTATGTGAGTGGAAAAAAATAATGTACCCATTTCAGCTTGTGTGCACCAAAGAAAATGGGAGTCCAGGCCCAGTTCAGCGCGAGCTGCAGCCCATAAAGCCCCAGTGGAACCACAGCATCTTCAGTGAAACCTCCAAGCTCTTTCCAGATCAGGTAGGAGCCATACCTGCATAAAAACAAACAAAATCCAACAAATAAACTCACTGTAGAGCAGAGTGGCTGAGTGAGTCATCTAGTGTCCCACTTACCCCATTCCGGTGTACAGGCAAGTCCACACCACAGGGAATGCTGCGTTTGGTGGGCGCCATGAGGGTTTGTTCAGGGTTGGGTACCAGTTTTTTACCTCTTTGCGCGTAATGAAGCCACCATAGAAACCACCGACGTGTGGCAACGCCGTCATCCCAATCATAGGCAGCCACATGGTCTGTGATAAGAGCAAGTTGCAACAGTTTACCCTCTGCTAAAACTGCAGATATTAACTATCATGTTACATAATAATTTTCATAAACTCTGAAGAGGCAAAAGAAAAATGCATTTTTCAGGGTAAAGACAAAGCGGATCTCCAATGGACAAGCAATCGTCATGAATGAAAAAAAAAAATGGATAAGTAGCTGACAACTAAACATGGTGCTTTTAAGTGTGACTGTAATATTACAATATCTTTATTTCAAGCAAAAAAATTGACTTTTCTTCTGTATTTTTAAGCAAACTAAGATACTGAACCCTGTTGTTCAATATTTGTATAGTATAGGAAAAGAGGCTGTCTCGAACATGTGGACTTTTGCACAACACATGCGCAAAACACAACATAATTTTACATTATATGACATCAACAACAACGTTCAACTTCATGTCATTCTGAACAGGTGAAAATAGTGGAAAATTCAGAGTGCACATACTATATGTTTACATACATAAACTTCAGCCTAATAACATGCAAACATAAAATTTTATACATGTACACATCGTCTTAAAGCACTTTGATATTTCATTGTAGGTTTCCTTTCCATACGTTTTTGTTGCAGTATAATGTATATTTTTCTAACCAAGTTACAAAGGTTTCATAACTTTTGCTGCACTGAGCTTTTTGTTCAACTGATCTTTTAAATGTGCTATAAAAATACACTTTGAGTTGACTTAGCTGTGTCGAGTATTACTTTGGATTTTGTTTCTTCAAATGAATAGATTTAAACTTTTAACATTTAGTTTACCGTTTTATTGGTGTAAAAGCCGGTCAAGTTTTTACAAAAGAACATAGTCCAGGCTATTTGTCCAAAGTAGCCACAAATTTAAAAACCTCCCAACAAAGTTGGTTGTACACAGGGCCGTCCCGAGGCCTCCATGGGGCCCTCAGCGGCTGCGCAGTGTGCTTATGCCTTGGGCCGGCCCTGGTTCTAAATCATTTTATTTGTTACTCAACCTCCAGCTGCTGCTTGAAGGTTACACGTCCTGCTGATAACTCCATGTTAGGCACATGGGTAACCATTCAAATATTTATCTAACATCCAATTTATATGACCAGATTCAGTGCAGAAGTTAACAATTCGGGATCAGCTTTTGACTCCAGTATCATATCTGAACTGTAAACTTGTAAGTCTTGTTTTGTAACGTGTACAAAGTGTAAGGCGTGTCCACGCTGACAAAACACTCAAAAATGACCTTCTTAACTAATATACAGAGAATTATGAGTATTTGGTGGAGCCGTAGGAATAATGGGTGTTTTGGGAGGTTCTACGACATGTAAACAAAATAAACAAATAAAAGCTAACGCGCATTTCCTTTCGCGAAATGACTTTGTTGTAAAAACGTATAAACTAAAAACACAGAGCGGTCACAGTTCCAGAAAACTGACGTCACTCCTCTGCATCGTGCGGCAGCTTGTTTGAAACACTTACCGTCTCTCAGTGCGGATAGTTGATGGGTGTCGACGGTAAAAGCGACGGCAGACTAAAGACAGACCACAGCCTCTAGCATGCTGACAGTCCAGTGAAATAGCCGCTGCTTTTAAAGGGCAGGGCAGCCTTATCGCCGCGGTCACTCCTCGGTCCCTCCCACGACCAGCGTCACGGCGCACGCCGAGGCCAACGGCTGGTCGCGAGGAGGCAAACCTAGCGGCAGCCGGGAGGAAACGTAACGACGCTGATCCACAACGACAGAAGCTAACGCTTTTCTTTGCTCTGCCTCTTAGCACAAGTTTCCCGTCGGCGGAAAAGTGACGACATCAAAGATTGCTAAAGGCTCAAGATAGTTCCTTCCATTCTTAAAACGAATGACTCCCAGCTGCAGCCCTGACACAAACCCAGCCTGTCCCTGGTGTTCAATCATTAACATTTCAACATATTTGTTTACGGTTTGTCTATATTTGTCTATATTCTCTGAAAATATAGACATACAAGCGTTTGTCAGAAAACGGCAATGTCTACTTGAAAGTCGAAATTCAGAGAATTATTTATTTCGGGAGGCTGAAACTCAGCTAGGAGGACCAAAACTGACATCATTAAAAATAAGTAAGGTTTGTAAACCTTTCCTGATTGATTATGGTTTACTTTGTTTCTCTCTTCTTTAATTTTTTTTTCAAGTGGGCCTTTGAAAATAAATAAATAAATAAAGGCCCACTTGAAACCTGCCTAACAAGTTTTAATCTACTGTCAGACCAGTTTTATTTAAGTGATTTTACTGACTACAGATTTTTCTGTAACCACGGTTGGCTTTGGCTAGTGAAATACATCACTTCAGATAAAAAAAAAAACAGCTTAAACTCTTAATCATTTTCCTTTCAGCTAACAATTTTGCACTACTTTAATTTCAGTTTATGAAATAAATCACTTGGCCTGAAGCCAAAGTGCTTTTATCCTTTTTTTCTTTTGGATTGTTTCAAGATTGGTTTCTGCCAAGCTTGATTGGCAGAAATCATCCTTATAACCAATCGCAATAAGGATGTGAATCATAGACTTGAGAAATTCATGGCTTGTGATGACTAAATGACTTTATGCAACATGTATCAGAAAGGAATATTTCTGCGACTGTAGCTCATAATTACTATTTGATCAATTTTGGTAACATCCCTGCATTTTCATAAATATGCAGGGACAGCTAGCATATCAACAATTCATCACACCTGTGATGAATTGAACAAACGAATACTTATTTTAGGTAACCTAAAGTATGAACAAAAATAGCAACTGAACTCTTCTTGTTTTTGAATTTTTGTGTTCATCATGCGGGGGGGATGAAAGCTCTTCAAAAGACAAGAGAAGTGCATTTATTTTCTATTTAAGATGTTTTCTCCTAGATAAAATGCTATACACAAACGTCAGTGGATGTACATTTTTCAACAAATGAAATTGGTCCACTTGCAATATTGTTTTATTCAATAATTCAAGACTGACAAGAGTACAGAGATAAGTTGATGGCGAGACAAAAGCCTTCAGCGAACATCTCTTGTCCAGACACTTCAGTTTATAAAATTTTTCTGGGGCTAAAAAACAAAAAGCACAAGTTGGTCAAGAGTATTACAAGAAGAAACTTTGCAGAAACAAACATGTAAATTACACAGAGAGAACAACATTCCAAGCAAGTTATAATCGAGCCTGTTGGATACAAGGTTTCTGCTGCTCAATAATTTCAGACATTCGTAGTCTAAGTTCAAATTTACCAACAGATTACTCAAAATAAAAACTATCTGATTTAATTAGATAGCCTGCCAGAGCCCAAAAATTACAGTTTCTAAGCTGCCCTTTTGTGTGTGAAGGTGAGTGTGACCTACCCTACCTGTGCCCAGTGACAGAACAGGACAAAATAAGTAAATAAAATTGATTGATAGCTAGAGGTACATTGTTAATTTTCTCAATAGTACCAAAATAATTGTTTTTACAAGCTGACTACCTCATAGCTGCCCTTATCACACAGAAAAAAACATCAATAATTGCCTTTAGAATCAGACCATCATGTAGTCTGGTAGAAAAAGCTACTTTTTGCTAGGTTATACATGCAGATTCATTGTACAGAAATGACCTAGAAAAATACTGGAAACTGTACTCTACTCTTTTTTATCAGGGTTGTCTCTCCATATACAGTAACGAATGGCAGTGGTGTAACACATCCAAGCCAGATATGGCGCCAAGAGCAGAGAGGCAGTGCGGCTAATGGGATACCAAGACAACATGGTGGCTCCAATTGCCCCATCGAGAAGCGCAATCTCAATTAGACCCTAAAAAGTGAACATAAAACCCATTTATCAGACAATTTGCAATAGTAAAATTCACTTATAGAATTTAAAAATAACACTAAAAGAGACATCTATGTTTTAAAGCCTACCCATTTTTGACTGTGTGCACCGAAGAAAAGAGGAACTGATGCCCAGTTCAGAGTTAGCTGCAGCCCGTAAAGTCCCATTGGAACCACTGCATCCTCAGTAAAACCCCCAAGCTCTTTCCAAATTAGGTAGGACCCATACCTGCATGGAAAAATTAAAACATAAATAAATAAATAAATAATGGAAAAATTCTTAACACTTAATCCTACATTACAAAAGAGAAGGTTTTTCTTCCTTTATAAGTGAGTACAGCACAGAAGAAAAGATTTTTTAATACCTAAAGAAGGAAAATAATCAAGAGCAAGCAGCTGAGTCTGCAAATAGACTCAAAAGTCTAAATATTTTTCATGGAAATATAATATTAATAGCATTATAATTGTTGAATCCTAAATATCGTACTTGGTATCACTGTTAATTGATAAACAGTAACGATAAAATATTACCAGAGATGGCAATTTCAACAGCTATTACAAAAATTAGCTTGATGCAATATTGTGTTTATTTTCAATACTTCTGTATTTTTAGGTTCAAAATATGTTTCAAAAGCAGAAAGAAAAGAAAACTGTAAAATCTCAGATGTTATGCTGAGAAATTCAATTTTGAAATGCATTCAGATGAATCATCAGTATACTGTTTGAAAATCCAAACATACGTGAATTGTATTTTATTAAAGTTTAGAATAAACTTGAAAAACAGTTTTGAGTTTAGAGCCCCTACATGCACTCTGCATGGCTCTTTATTTTTGTTCCTCCTTAGCATGTAAAAAAATAACTTGTGCTGCAGGAATGATAACAGAGCAATAAAGTTTTACACTTTCACTGAGAACTGATAATATATCGGCTCCTGGTCTTGAACTGTTCACTTTGAAAACATTAACTGAGTTAAGTATAAAAAGAACAGGTTCTGTGGAAGACTAAACTTAGCCATGTTGTGTATAATTTACCCCATCCCTGTGTAAAGACTCGTCCACACCACAGGGAACGCTCCGTTCGGTGGGCACCATGAGGGTTTCTTCAGGCTTGCGTACCAGGTGTAGACCTCCCTGCGTCTGATGAAGCCACCAAGAATCCCTCCGACATGGGGCAGGGCTGTGAACCCAATCATTGGCAGAGACATGGTCTGAAACGAGACCAGATGATTTTATGACCGATTCCGAATTCCAGCGTAGATGAGTCGCTGGAATTATTGCTCCCAGACAAATATCTCCAGTTTTTTTTTTTGTCATAACTTTCACATCATCAAGCACATTTTATTGCCACTCAACTCATGTGACTAAATACAAAAAGTAGTTATTAAAGGGTGATTTCACTTTTTAAGGAGAAATAGTCCAAACTAATCTTGTCCTATGTAAAAAGAAAAAAAAGTAATTACACAAGAATTCAGTTCAATTCAGCCACACAGCAGGTTTGAGCATGAATGGCCAGAGGTTGTACTACAACTAGACTTTATTAAAATCACTTGTGATGTGTTTTGAATCACTATCCTGCTGCAAATCCAAGGATGAAACTTATTGTTGAACATTCCCCATCTGAACTTTTTATGGTTTTGCTATGAACAGAATTCATGGTTTCTAAAAAAAAAAACAAAGTATCTCGAGATGTTTACACATCTCAAGAGATGTGTAAACATCAAACAGGCAAACTTGCCAGTTTGCCTGTTATTGTGACGTTCTTTCTCTGAAATGCATCAGAGGTCAGTACCACTCCAATGTCAAAGGGAGGTCTGGTCACTCAGGACGGTGTCTGCCTGTTCTCTCTGTGCATGCGTGGGTTGTCTCTGGGTAGTTGTCCTCTCACAGTTCCAAAACATATGGTTATGAGGAGTGTGTATGTGCACAGAACAGCGACCTGTCCAGATTGTGCTTTATGCAGCATCTAACTGAATGAACTCTGCTTTTTGCATTTACTCTGTTTATGTTTATCAGATTTTACGATCATCAATGATCTGAAACATTTAATTATGGGGTTACTATCTGTTACATTTAATTGTGAAATAATGCATCCCTTTAAATATAATTAAGAAAGTAAAATAAATGCTTTTTTTCTAAGTATGTCCATATTGTGTTTTTACAAAAAAAAAAAACAAAAAAAAAAATTCTGACTGAATTAGCACAAATGGGTATGGTATCAATTTAGTCACTGTTCATCAGACAGCGACTAAACTTTTTCTGTGACAACTAGCTTTTGCAGGTGAAAATCTATGCAGTTTGTATCCAGATTGTGTGGAGTCTGCAGAGAAAGGTGCCCATTTCCTGATTTAAGGGAGATCCTATCTATCGATCCATCTATAGAGAATATCCTATTCTTGAAAAACGGCCTAATTACATAATCTTGTTTTTAGTTTTTTTTTTTTTTGTCTTATTCTTATTTTCCCTTTACAAAACATGCAAATTACAGTGTAATCAAATTTAGATCCACTATGCTGACAAAAATGACATTAAAGTGACGTTTTTCTTGTGTAAAACGTCTCTTTTTCGGTAAAACATATGAACATTATGAAACAAGTAAAGCACGTGACTAACAACAAAACATTCTATTAAGACAATGCAAAACCCGAAAGTGGTCGAGAGAGATACGATTAAAGCCATTTAAAAGTAGCCTCGAAATTCAGAGCAATTTGTGTCTTACCGTCAGCGTGCCTGACAAATCAACGAGCAAGTAACTAGAAATGTAAAAAAGAAGCTCACAGTTTACGTCGTTTACGTAAACTGTCTGGTTTCTGAAGGTTATTGTCTGACACTCCCTACCTCAAACGCAAAAAAGGGGGCAAACAGCGTGACGTCACCACGTTCTGATCAGCCATTGGCTGCAAGAACAGAAAAACAGAACAAAATAAAAAAATATATTCTGTAACGCCGAATATGTACACGGGTCAAACACCCTTCCGTGTTTTGATCCTTATTTAGAATTATTTTAATTGTTTTATTTTATTCATTTGCTGAGATTGCAAAACGCTTGCGACAGCTCCCCACCTCTGCACCACAGAGGCGTTTTGTGCTGCGTTCAATTTACCTCGGAAAACCGAACTCTAGGAACATCATCACGCTCTGTTTGAATTCTTTATTGCATTATGAAGTCATGTTAAAGAAGTCAATTAATACAATAGCTACTTCAACATATTTTTTTAAATTTTATATATTAATAAAAGTAAGTTGCCATCCAAAAAAAAAAAAAAACTACAAAAGTAAGAGTAAAAATGTAATTAATAAAAAGAGTACTTTAGTAGAATGTCTGATTGAATATTTCTAAATGATGCAATCAAACAGACAAAAATACAGTTATGTGTAAATTCTGGTATTTCAAAGACTAAGGCACAGCAAACAAAGCTTTTGTGCAAACAAGAAGTCTCACTTCAACATATTTAGGTATGTTGCATCTGGTGCATTTGTAAAACATGTTTGGTCTTCATTCAGTGATGTATCCAGAAATTTCACTCAAGCAAGAGTAGAACTTTCTAATATTACTATAATTAATATTATTTTTAGTAATGTAATATCAAGTAAAAATATAAATTGTGGTGCTGTAGAACAACTAGGTGCACATATTTTCCATACAATCGCTCTAGTAAACTAGTCTCGATAATAATCTGCACCAGAATAAATTAATTGGCACCATCAATTTAGCTGTTTTCAGTGTTTACAGCTCTGATGCTATAGCATTAAGCAAACTTGTTAGGTAGTCAAGTAATTTGTGTAGCATATCTTCAGGCACTTCAAAGTAATAAAAAATACAGTCAGCAAAAAAAAAAAAAAAAAACATAACTACAGAAAAGAGAAGTCATAAAAACTTCAAAAGCAGGTCAGAATAAATCTATTTATCAATATAAAGTGAAGGCAGCTCAAAACAAAACGAGGGTTAGCCATTTTTTTAAATTTAGTTCAGCAGTTATGCAGTTTTCTGAAAGTTTGTTTTAAATTCGAGGAGCATAAAAACTGAATGCTGCTTTGCAGTGTTTGGTTCTGGTTCTGGGGATTGTTATGGTTATGTAAGTGTGCAGCAGTGTGCAAGTAAATAGATATGCATACAGCATTCTACTTAGATATATGTGGCTGTTGTAATAAGATACACAAAACTGTTTTTAAATGCTTATTTTATCTAATACAGCAAAAGGCAAATGTTTCCAATAACTGGCAAGGAGACTTTTACATCTCTAGGAATTTGACAAGGCTGCAGCACAACCTTTTTATTCATATCATTCAGAGATGGACTTGATGTGTGCTTTGTATCGTCTTGCTGCACAAGTCGACTGTGGGTGGACATTCTTCTCCCAGTCCAGACAAAGGAAAAAAAAAAGCATAACACACACAAAAAAAAACATTTCCACTGGGAAGTGATGCAGTTATTTCTGCTTGTAAAGTAAGAAAATGTGTGACAGTGAATGGGAAGACTGGAGGGTTTTTTTTTTAATCCTATACACAAACTTCATGTATTGATTACAGCTTATCCTTTCGCTTTTTGATTTGTTTTCTATTATTCCTGAGTTCACCTTTAGCAGTATAACTCTTTGAACATCAAGTTTTATTTGCATTGTGCACTACTGTGAATAAGTAGTATTTTTATTACACATGGAGATTTTGGACATTTTAAAATGAACCTACTCGGAAGTATGTTGTTTTTTCCAATACCTATGCAGTAAGGATGTTGAAATGGTGTCCTTATAGGACGCTGTGTTGCACTTAATTCTGTTTTCATGCATTTTGACGTCCTGTCTTTGTGTGAATCAGTTTGCTGTTGTTGCATAGAAACTTCCCCCACTGAGGGTCTATAAAGAATATTTCTATTTCTTATTTTTTACTCTACATCCCGATTTCTTCTTCGAGGAAAAAAAAAACAAAACAAACATCTTATTCACAAACAACAGCTTGTTAGTGTGCATGCATATAATAATAATAAAAAAAGTCAGGGATGCTCCAGAGCTCCCAGTCCACTCGGTGAACTGTGAGCCCCTCCTCCAAGACACACCTTTTCCTCCGCGGTCCTCCGGCGGTTCTTACCTTCTTTCCGCTCCTCTCAGCGTCGTTGTCTGGCTGCGAACTCTCACCCCAGCTGCTTGGGAAATGTCACACAGGCAGGGAGGCCCGCGCTGCAGTAGGGGGGCGTAATAGGAAGAGAGGGGGGGAAAAAACCAAACAAACAAAAAAAAAATTTTCTCCGTTCTCGGCGCATCTTGAGCAGAGACTCTGCCGTGCAAGTGCCACATCCCGCTACCAACCAGCAGCAGCCGCAGCAGCAGCAGATGATTACGCACCGCACCGCAGTCTCGGTGCTCGTTTCGCATTAAACCCGATATATATTAATAAAGAAAAAAACAAAACAAAACCGTGGCAGACATGTGAGTAGCAACCCATCGCTGTCGTTCTCCGCTTTCCCGTTGCCTGCTGTGTGTTGTTGCTGCTGGAGCCTCAGCGGCGGCGGCAGCGGCAGCAGCGGCGGTCAGTGATCCGTGTGGCGGTTCATTCTGCTGGGCTTCAGTCTCATCCAGAGGAGGGGGAGGGGGAGGGGGGATGGTTCTTTCAATCATTACATGGGTTCCGATTCGGGATGGTTAATTGTGATTTTTTTTTTCATCGTTGTTGTATTTTTTATATTTTTTTTGTGATTTTTTTTTAATTTCCCACCAGGCTGTGCCTGTGTGTTGGACGTGTAGCTTTAGCTGATTAGCCTGCTCGCAGTGAGTGAATGCAGCTGTGTGTCTCCAGTCAGATGTGGAGGCCCAGGTTAGAGCAGGAGCATAGTGCGGTGCTGCTGATGTGGGATACTGCGATGATAACAATGTTAATACTAATTCATAAAACGACAGCAGAGATTATACATGTGAGTGTTTGTGATCAGTGCCAAACTCAGCTGCTGGTTGATGTTTTTTATTATCATTATTTTTTATTATATCCTGCCTGACCTGAGGAAGCACAGCTGGACTGGTAACTCTCAGAACTCACCGTTCGACCCTAATTGCTGGATTTTTCCTTCTGTATTTTGCTTCTTTCTGGATTTTCGAGCTCTTATCAGATTATTCTTGACTTGCACTAATCAAAACCTGGTTCTTTAGTGCATGATTTATATGAGGAGATGCATTGCATGGAGTTGAAGCTGATATTAAGGAAAATAAATGAACTAAAAAAGCTGATGGTACTTTGAAATCCTCCGGTTTGTAATGATGCTGGGACTCCTGCTATTATGTGGTCAAGCTCGGATACTATCAGACATTTTTTATTTAAGAATTAAACTTTAAAGAGTTGTTTTTGAGAATTTTGTACATTTAACACAATTTAACTGCTTGTATAGTAATCAGGTCTTTATAATAATCTTTTTGGCATTTTAACTAGACCCAGTGTAAGAACCATGATTCAGTGCGATTGTAAAGTTTTCTGCAGTTTAAAAAAGCGGTGAGATTACCTTTAGTTAGTAGGTTAAAGATTATTCTTTGTATGTTCTACAGATCTGCCTCATAGTGTAGTTGAACTGAAAATGTTTTTTGATTACCTCACAAAGTTATTTCTTTTGTTCGTATTTATCTCATTTATTTAAATGATCTGATTGAAATACCTTGTTTATGCTGTTATTATTATTTATATTGTTTTACTCAGATCAAGTGTTTTAGGTAATCTAGGTTGCTGTTTTGCTTCTATCACATATAATCCCTTCTTAAGGCCCGAATTGATTTGTGTTTGGGATTGTTGTCCAGTTGGAGGATTCTTTTTTTTCCCTCCAACTTTCAATCTTTTGAAGCAAACTATCACTCTCAGATGAAGATCATTTGGTTAGGATGTTCAAGAAAAAAAGCACAAACAACTGGAGGAACGCTAGTGTCAACGGCGATGGTTTTACGTCGGCACAGATTGAGAGGCGAATAAAACTGAAGTGCCGAGTTTAAAGCTAACAGCTACAAGCTGCCAATGTAGACAAATAAAATTTCTCTCGAGAAATTATTTTTGGTTAGAGGACACTAATATTGAGCTTTCTGTCCAAAATGACAGCAAAGATGAGGTTTTCAAATCTACGAACGCCGTTGTTGTGGTGTGGGGCTATTTTGTTCCCTGTGGCATGGAAGCAATGTAAATTACATCCAAATTCATCAAATTCACTTCTAATTAAGAGATTAATGGTCGAATCTTAGACATAATTTAGCGTTCCAACAGAAAAGGATCCTAAAAAAAATTCAATGTTGCAGTCTAGAGAAAAACAAAACATTTGAAATATATTGTGAGAAATGTGAAATTATTTGTATTCATTTTGATTGACTGACTGCATTTAAGTTTACAACCACAACTGTAAATGTATTCCCTGAATCTCAACGTCTCGGTCCCTTCATTTCAGGGGACAGAGCCGTCATCCTCTCTCGAAGATGTCCACGCAGGAGGCTTACTGGCTCGTGAAGCAGCTGCCCAGCAGAAGATCCTGGGATTGAGACGTGAATCCCTTTACACCGATGGCCTGGACTGAGTAAGAAACTTGAGACCAAATGTCTGACGGGGCACGTTATTTTATCTCTGTTGTCCTTGTGTATGTATTTGCAGCTGATGAATTTGTAAACTTTAATTATCCACAGGTTTCAGCTGGCCTGCTGAAGCTATGGGGAGCTGCTGGAGCTGTCTGTACAGAGACCCCATCCGAGACAACCATCTCACCAAATTTAAGGTCTCCGTTTTAAAACTTTTAACAGACAAATCCTTCGCTGTGCCGTCATCGCAGCTCTGGCCCATTTTGTTGGACGTAGTCACCCTCTAAAACCTGTACTCTCATATATGTTTTTCTCAATTTCTGTGAAATTCAGATTTTTTATTAACCTTTATTTCACCGGGAAAATCCCACTGAGATTAAAAATAGTTCTTAACAAGAATTTTGGCTACGACTGATAGCAGCACACAGTTTACAGAACATTCACAGCTAAATAGAAAAAGCTAACATCGTCATAAATGAACTACGTTCATAAATTAAAGCATTTATAGACAAATGATTTCTTCTCCAAATCAGTAAAAATGTTCTAAAAACATTTAGTGATAACAACACCTGCTATTGCATGTTTTTCTGTACTTGGTCCCACAAAGATGGATCAGAAAACTGAAAATATTTCTTTATGGTTCACTTTAGGCACCAAGAGTAAAAGTAAATTATTACTACGAAGTGAGTATCCTCTGGTGGATTTTCTATTTATGCAGGCCAACTAATACCAAGAAAGAAATCCAAGTGTGAGTTGGTTGATGAAATTTAATTGGTGATGTGCCATTACATTGTATTATTTTGGATCCTTTTTAAAAAAAAAAAAAGTTTTTATGTCAACTTTCTTGATTTTTCACATATGTGTTTGACAACTTGCCTATTTGTTTCTTCTGCATTTAAATAAATGATAAAAGCAAGTATTTAAAAAAAAGCTTTAACACCACAGAATAATGGATGTAATACTTAACATAGCATGAAATGAGACACTGATTATAATCTTGTTTTTTGTACCAAAAACGTGCCCAAAAATTTTTTTTTCATTTTTATTTTTAAATACATCTGAACTGAAACTGGGTCAGTAAACACATCAACTTATTACATGCACTTTATTCTGCGTTTAGTAACAATCAGATGAATCAAGGAGAAAAGTGTTTGATTTCAGGTATTGGCTGATGGATTGATGCATCTGTCTTTATGATGCATAAAAGATAAAAGAACATTTTTTGCATCAAACAAGAATGAAATGATTGTTTTCTTAAAAGACGCAAGAAAGAACAAATAAGAAAAACACCTTGCAACATGCTTGCATAAATGCACTCCAAAACAACATGGTTAATGTAGAACATTGTTGTGTTTTTTTTTCATGCTTTATTTTTGTTGTTTCCATCCCTCTCATGATGTTTTTATGTTTCACCATCTTTCAGGTCATCAATGTTGATGATGAAGGCAACGAGCTCGGCTCTGGGATCATGGAGCTCACCCAGACTGAGCTCATTCTTCACACACGCAAAAGAGACGCCATCCGGTGGCCGTATCTTTGCCTGCGACGCTACGGCTACGACTCCAACCTGTTTTCCTTCGAGAGCGGCCGCCGCTGTCAGACAGGGCAGGGTGGGTAGCACTTTCCCAGTTTCTATGTAAAGTATGGTTTTAATGTGGAGGAACACTGGATGCATTTCACATTCGTTGTAACACCGTTAGTGCTTTTCACCAGTTCAAATATCTTAAAGAAACCTTCAATCAGGGACAGTTGTCGACCACAAGATGCTACTCTCTGTTTCTGTAATGTAACAGTGAGCTTTGGAGATAGTCTTCTCTTATCTCTCTAGTTGTAGATATGGGTCTTTTCAGATGACCAGGATTTTTTTTTTTTACTATCTGATTTATCAACACATATTAGCATTACTTGAATTTCATGTCCTATTGTCTTTCACATTTTGACGAGTTGTTAAGAGTAATTGCTGTTTGTAAACAGATAAAAAAATGATTATCTCACTTTCTAAGATTTTTTTTCAATGTGTGAATATGCCATGAATATGCATTTTAATGTATTTTACATGAGTCAGTGGTCTTGAAGGGCACTAAATGACTTTTTGGCGTTTCTCTTGACAAATTGTTGCTTTACTGCTGCTCTATTAATGACAGCACAGTACAAATGGTTACGAGTCATCTAGACTCAACGGGGTTATGAAATGTGCATAATTTTTTCCTTTGAATAAGGAATGAAAACATTACTGTTGTTTTTAATGTAATTTTCTCCCTTTTTATTTTGCACGAGCCACTGGGGCTATGTAAATAAACTTACCATGAGATCTTATCTCTGTAATTCCTCTTACATGCCATGTTTTGTTTGTGTTTAAATCAGGAATCTTTGCATTCAAGTGTTCCCGGGCTGAAGAGATCTTCAACCTGCTCCAGGAGCTGATGCAATGCAACAGCATCAATGTGGTGGAGGAGTCGATGATGATGAGTCGAAGTGGCCACACACCAGAGATGGACATGTCTCGGACACCACAGACTCCCAACAGTGAGTCACACCTGCTCATGCAATGCCTGCCAAACTTGCATGCAGCAACGCATTGAGAGGATTTCTGCAATTTCAATTTTAAGAGTTGTACAATTTACAAAAAAAAAAAAAAAAAAAACCCAGGGCAGCTTAACCTTCCTAACAAGTATCTCATATTTAAGTGACTGAAACAGGTTAAATATACATTTATTTAAACATTGTTTTGTGTTTAAGGCTTTAATGCCACCTTAGTAGTGATTATCATAGACAACTACTGAAGTCTCTACTTTTAAGCTAAATAAAGCTTGTTAAAGCTACACTTTTTCCACAACAAAGTATCTGGAGAACCAACAATAATCTTTTTTCAAATCTTAATTCCAAACAAAAGTGTGTTCATTTTTATGCACTCAATACTCGGTTCTCCTCCTCTTTCTTGAATCGTTGTGTCAATGCAGCACATCTCTTGGAGATGCCATGAACGCCTGCTGAGCTGCAATGGAAACCCAGATTGCTTTGTCATCTGCCTTGTTGGGTCTGGTGATTTTCTACGAGGTTAAAGGTCAGGGGCATTTACAGGCCAATCAAGAACATTGAGTAGTGGCAGTGTTCTGCCAGAAATCAAAATCAGCAATGTTATTATGTAGTTCTCTAGATGTTTCTGGTAGATGACTGCATTGATTGTGGACTTCAGAAAATACAGTGGACAAACACCAGCAGAGGATATGGCACCCCAAACCATCACAGACTGGACTTCAAGCAATGCCGATTCTGTGCCTCACCGTTCTTCCTGAAGTCTACTCCTTGTGAGCTTTCTCAAATTCTTGAATGAATTTCGCTTGACAATCCTCTCAAGACTGCAGTTTTCCCTGTTGCTGGTGCAACTTTTTTCTTTCCACTTAATTTCTTTGGATATACTTGGATGCAGCAAGCTGGGAACGACTGATTTCTTCAGTAATGATCTACTTGACTAACTTTCTTTGTGGAGAGTGTCAGTGACTGTCTTCTGAACATCTGTCCAGTCAGCAGTCTCTCTATGATTTGGCAGTTGACTGACTGAGACTAAAATCCATGTAAACCATGGTGTCCAGCAAGGGCAGGTGTCCTGTCACTTTTAGACGTGTCTCAGTTCCAACAGAGCTAATTGAAATGGTCGAACTAACTCTTCAATGTGCCACACAGTTCTTCAGATGGCTGTTAATGAACCATCATTTAATTCAAGTGTGTTGGCGCAGGGAAAGAACTAAGATATGCAGGAGACAGACCAGTCCTTGAATATTCACTTTGGACACCCCTGATTTAGACGCTGCTCCTCTACTGCCCTCAAGTGGTGAAAGAAAGAAACCATACGTTTTTACGCACTTTAAATCTGGCATCTTCTGCATTACTAATTTATAGTTTTCTTTAAGGATTAGAAAGTAAAGTTTAAGTCCACAAAGTCAATTTACTGTAATTTTCACAGTTTATTTTCACTTTCTCAGAATTAATCTTTGTGGTGAAATTTTCTTCAGTAGTTCAGATTTTCTGTAAGTTTCACTATCTTAAATTTTAAACATTTTAAGACCTTTAAGACCATTACCATTATCTATAACTCCACAGAAATGCATAAACTTTGTCCAGCCGAGTTGCGATAAACTTGTGCTTGTCTATGGTGGATGAAGAAAAGCTAAGGGTATGCTAGTAGAGATATACTGGCGGCCTCAACCACCTCAAATCACATAATGCTTGGCAAGTTAGAAAAAATAATGCTTAGAATATATGTGTGATTAAATAATCCTGCCAAGTCAAAAATTAAGACCTGTGATTAACAAATTTGTGTTTAAAAACTATGTTGGTCTTTGACATTGAGATTTTAGCGCATGATTTTTGGATGCATTAGTTTAAGACTTTTTAAAGATTCACAAGCTGGCTGTATCCCTGCAACATTCTTCCCTCATTTAGAATGTTTTCATTAATGTCACAGCAGTTATTATAATTTTTTTTTACAAATGCAATCAAATGCCTTTTAAGTGCTTGTTGAAATAACCACCCTTTTTAAGTACTATAAAGAAAATAAGTCCAGCCAAATATTTTTAGTTGATTGACTGTCACCTTCCTGGTTTCTCTTGGTCTGTATTGTCTACAGCTCCAGCTTTTCCTGTCCAGTCCTTTCCTAATGGATATCCAGGTTATCCCATCAGTGGGGATTCCTCCCAGCCATCTCTTGATGATCATGGACACAGCCTCATGGCTTTGGAAGACCAGGTAACTCCTGTTTGCACCTCATAACATACTTCCTTTGAATCCAAAGGTTGAACCTGTCTGTATTTCCTAACAGACTCACACCTATGTGAATACTGTGAGTATGGACGGAGATCTTTCCATGCGTCACTGTGTGCACTCTCTGCCTGAGGTGCGGCCGAGCGCTTTGCCCGAAACGACGCGTGGAGCCATGCCCGTTGGAGGCCAAGGGAACCCACAGTCCAACATGAGATGCTGTCCGCTTGAGGAGCGCAAAGACCCCCAGGTGTTCCTGCAGCCGTCCTCGCAGGAGGTCAAGTTCATGTTGGGGCCCACTCCGGCTCAGCGCCATCTCATGGAGAGGGAGAGGCTCGGGCACAATCCTCACAACCTTCAGCCAGCAGAGGGTGCTACAGGTTCAGAGACGGAGGGGGATGAGCCTGGGATGCACTTGTGCAACTCTCACTCCTATCACCATTTCCATCACCACATGCACCGGCATCCGAGCCACGAGCACCCAGACAGCTCCCAGAGTGGCGAGCTCACCTACGAGAACATCAACGGCCTGCGGAGCAGCCGAAAGCAGCGACTGAGCCCTAGTAGCGTGTCGCAGTCTGTGGGCTCGAGCAGCAGCAGCAGCACTGGGGATAGCCACTCACACTCACTGTTGCACTCACACGGCCACGGCCCTTCATCTCTGCCACCTCAGGGCTACGCCTGCGAGAGGGGCATGGGTGGAGGCCACCGCCGGACAGCTCTTCTCAACTATGAAAACCTGCCCTCACTGCCACCTGTGTGGGAGTACAGCGCCTTGCAGAGGGACGATGAGCAGGAGGAGGATGATGAAGATCAGGATGAGGATGAATATGAAGAAGAGGATGATGACTTTGATGAGTACGAGTTCTCAGAAGGTCCAGGAACGCCCAACGGGTACCACCAGGACAGCCGGGGTATCCACCGAGACGCCCTTCAGAACTATGTCAACACAGAGCAGGTGCAGCCGCCCCGGCTCCGGCACCCCTGCCCCCCGCATCCTCGGGCGTGTCGACCAGACAGCGCAGGGCGAATATTTAGCTTCGATTTCCGACGGCGATCACGTTCAGGGGTCGGAGGTTGCGAGCACGGTCACATGCCTCCATCGCGGCAGCTGAATTACATCCAGGTGGACCTGGAGGAGGAACCTCCCCGCCAAGCCCTCGGCAGCGGGGGTGCCCAGCCACAGCACCAGCGCCTACCACCCAAACAATGTGGCCCGCCGGTACCCAGACGCAGCGAGTGCTACGCCGTGATTGACCTGAAGAAGACCGCTGCCATGTCCAACCTGCAGAAAGCGCTGCCCAGGGATGATGGGACTTCGAGAAAGACTCGCCACAACAGCACAGACCTGCCTCTGTAAATGAAGTTCAGACTGGAGACAGATGAAGGCCTCATCCTCATGTTAGCACACTGGACCCTTCACTGTCATCCATCCATTCAAGCGTTGGGCTGACTGAAACGGTACAGGTACCTAATTAGAAACTCAGTGAAAGTGAATTGTGAATGGAAATGAGAAAAGTCTGAGGAGAATTTGAAGTTAATTTTATTTGTCAAACATCAGGTTAAAACTTTCTTAAGAGCATCAAGTTTCATATAAATACATGAAGGCAGTGCCTTGCAGAAGTACTTGTGTCCCTTAAAGTTTTTCACAATTTGTAATATTATTAGCACAAACCAAAATGCCTTTTTGGAGGGATTTAATGTGACAGACCAACACAAAGTAATACCCACTTGTGAATGGACTAAAAGTTGGTATTTTTTGACAGGTTTAAAATATTTACAGCCTCTAAAAGACTTTCTCCCAGCTTTGAACTGGAACTAGCTTCATCCACCTTCTTATCAACTCTGACAAGCTTCCCTGGTCCTACTAAGGAAAACTGTCTCCACATCATGATGGTGCCACCACTATGTTTCACAGTGAGGATGATGTTTTCAGGTTGATGTACAGCTATAATATTTTTATATACACCAGAAATTTCAGTTTTGATCTAATTTGTCCAGATCAACCTATTCCAAATATTTGCTGTATCCCTCACATGCATTGTGTTTAGAACTTATTGCGGTTTTCTTCTTGCAAAGCTTCCAGAAATCACAAATGTGTGGAAGGCATGACTCCTCCTCATGTCAGCAGATCCCTGCAGCTCCTCCAGAGTTACTATAATTCTCTTGGCTGCCTCTACGTCCACAGGAGTAAAGTTGTGTTTATGCAGAGATAAAATTAGTCACTGGTGATAAGTATTGATTGATTAGATGACTTTGGAAGTCAGTTAGTTGCATTGAACTTTGTTATTATTGTGCTGGTCTGTCTCATGAGTCCCAATGACATGCATTGAGGTTTGGTTCAGGTATGACGAGGTGTTTTGCAAGACGCTGTATTCTTCTAAATATGATACTTTATGCTTCGCTGTTGTCCAACAGAGGTCTTCATTTTTGGTGGAAGAAGTCATTGCCATAATGTATTATCAAGTTTGATATTACTTGCATTTCATTCATGTTTTTTTTTTAATTTTCTTTTTTTTTTTTACATGTAAGATTCTAAACATCAGAGATGCAACCGTCATCAGAGAGGAACCATTGATGGCATGAAGGCAGGTCAAAGGTTTCTTGTCTGACCGGTGTTCATACCTCATCACAAGCACTTAAATTTAATGTTGTGGCTCGTATGTTTATTACTGTATGCCTAAAAAGCATTTTGCACACAATCCTATGGAATTGTATCGAATCATATTGTAGAAGCTGTCTTAATCGAGCAGAGATTGAAAGGGGAAAAAACGGGATGAAAAGAAGAGATTGGGAGATTTGGAGAGTAGTGCTTAACTATACGACGGTAAACGTAGCACACGTGGACTAAATCAAGTTTGGCTCTCTGCTGTTGGCATGCAGAAATCAAAACCGTAGCATATCATCCTCAGTCACATCTCCTGCATATCATTCCTGACGCAAGAGAGGGTGGGTCCATGCCAGTCACGTTGCACTTTAGGCCACTTTGTCACCACTGCAGCCACAGGTTGGGTCCTTTTTGCCACAAAAATGGGGGCCAGAGGGACACCGTTCGACATCAGCTTCAATAGTTCAATAAAGTGTTCTCGGTTAGAGACGTTGATGACCTCAAACAGTGGCATTAAGCTGTAACCTCATGGGAACTGAGCTAAATCTATGATTTATCAGTTATCAGGGCTGTTTTAAAGGGGGTTCAAGCATGTTGCAAAGTCATAAAGTTGCTTTTTTTTAAGTTATTTATAAACCGTCTCAAATATTTATTTATTTATTTATAACATATTTATTTATTCATTTGAAAAAAAGTGTAATTTATTTTTCCTCCATACGATGACCAGCGTTTTGTAGTCCAGTAGGTAATCTGGAGACCAAAGTTTCACCTCAAATTATCACTGGACTCTGGTGTATTACTGTTATTAATATGCTTAAGTATATTTTTGAAAAAGAAGAATGACTGTATTTATATTTTAAGTGCCAAATTGTAATTGCTACCAGTAGGAAGAATTAGAAAGTAAAATGTGCCATAGGGAATTTTTTAGGGGGAATTGGGGGAGCGATGAGGCACAAAGTGAAAATGGGTGAAATAAATACAACAATCCAGTTTTTTGAAAGTTTTTCAAATTAAAATAATAAAAAACACATATTCCACCTCATCCATATCGATAGCCATGCTAAAGGGAAACACGAGAAGGATAATCTTTTAGTCTGATAATCACTCTTCTGGTGGTTTTTTGCTGCTACTTGTACATACTAACAGTAGCCCATATAAGCTACAGGTACATGTCAAAATGAGAAAAATAATGTGATGTCAGACTTTTTATCACGTTGTCAATAGGAATAGTGTCGTTGTCGTCTTCTGGTTTTATTTGTGGGCGGCAGGAATGTCACGGCTCATTTCAGAGGGGGCCAATGTGGTCAAAACTTCGTTCCATGCAGACAGATTTATTCTGAACCGACTGAAAGAAAACGTAAGTTAATCACAGGCATTCATCTTTATTCTGATTGCTCATATTAGCTTTGCGTGTAAAGCTGATGGAAAGAGAGATGTTTTTAGATCTACTCGTGTGGAATCTCTGGAAGGCAGATTCACTGCGGCGTTTAACTCAAGGTGATCTTTTTGTCTTTTCAGCCAGTGTTGATTTGAAACAGGTGCAGACTCTCAACTTCTGACAGGGAGGGTTTTTTTTTTTTTGGCTTCATAGACTGCTTTAGGTGTTAAACAAAGGAAAACACTGCAGATCACCATGTTAGTAAAGCATATGTTTTATTTACAAAAAACTTTGAAATAATTTAATTAGTGATGGAAAAAATATATTTGTATTTCAGTGATTGTGTCTTTGGTATGTAAAATTCTGATTTTATCTGTGTGTCTATCAGTTAAAGAAGGGGCGTTATGAAAGGTCATCTTGAAACTTTATATAGTATTCTGTTATTTTCTCAACAAAATAATACTTGGTGGAACTGGGGATTTGCTGAGCCCATCATAATAACTTCCTCTCAGTCCCAATACTTGTAAGAACGGTTGTAAACAACATAATGGAGGAGCATTGTTGTGATGATGTTTTGAAGGCAGCGTGTCGGAAAGAGCAGGAGCTCAGGAGACGTAGGCCCATCTTCAGGGCGTCAAATTGCTTTGTCAAATTCCTTTTAAGTCATGTTGATATATACAGCATTTTCATATCAGCTGAAATAAAGATGGTTACCTGATAGTTGTGTGAAATGGCACAGTGTGTCAGTAAAGGCCAATATACCCCTCCTTTAACACTTTTCCCACCTCTACAGTGTGCGTTTTATTGACAGATTTTATTCTGACGCAGACTTTATTTCCAAGACCTTTTTTGCTGAGACTTTTTATTCTCTTGCCTTTCAGTCCTAGATCTGATGGGATTTTTGTCTATGGTCTGACATCTGAGGCCGTTTGCTCTAATGTGTGAGGATCCAGAGTCCTGAGGATGTCCTAAAAAGTCTCAAATAACCACATCAGAAGTTGAGAGCTTGTATTTTATTTAGTTTTTGTACTGGATATGAAAGACATCTTGACGCCAACATTGATAGCTGAAGCATTGATGCACCGAGGGATGTTTACATTTTTGCAATAATAGGACTATTATTGTTTTACTGATCTAAATTGGAACAACACGTGAAGTGTGGGATCTGTAGCTTGTAGAGCTGTAAGCTATATGTGCGTGTTCGCCTTCGAGGAGCAGATGTAGAAAATCTACCAAAAAAATGTTTTCTTTATGGTTACTTGACTCTTACATCACCATGCAGTAGGTGACCACTGAGAGTGCTTGTAGTAGATTATCTCGTGTTACAACTTTTAAAGCAGCGGTGTTTAATCTTACAAAAATCAGCAGGTGATCTATGTGTATTTTTGACATGTGGTTTTAAAGTCATTGAACTAATTGTGGTAACTACTTCTGTTTTTCAATAATAACCTCATCCAATTTTTTTTAAAGCATCAGCACCAGCTTCTCTTGTGTTCATGGGCCAACAATCGGTAGAAATGGGAACATGAAACGAACATCCTCCAGGTCTTTCTGTTGCCAAGCCATTATGTGATCGTATTCCTCTCAAGGTCAAGCGAAGTGCAGCTCCGAGCTCAGAGACTCCGTGGAACTGGATTCATGTTCATGCTGTCTCCCCGGCTTTCATAAGCGTTGAGTGTTGATGCTTGAGGCCCTGTTTCACACAGGTGTTAAAAATGCCAGTTAAAATTTGTTTTTTGTAATCTGGGGGGCGAGTAGCTACAAGTTAAGATCATAAATCCATCCCATCAATCGTCTTGACAAACTGTATTTACAGAAAAAGTTGAAGTTTAAAAAAAAAAAAGGGCTTGCTCTGTTTTTACTGTGTGAAATGTGATTGCGTCCATATACCTTGTGTGTTTATTTTTATTTGCATTGTGCCTTGCATTTTCACACTGGTTTAACATTTTCTTTGCTGAAAGTGAAGGTGTTGTTTTTTTGTTTGTTGTTTTTAAAGGTGCCTGTTGGAAGTTTGGAGACAAAACGAGGCTTCAAGGAAAATGTTCTCAATTTCAGGTTCTGAAAATAATGTGCCAAGATCTGATTTGCATATCACTGCTTTTACAAGATTTTCACTGAAAGGATGTTTGAATCAGTTGGTTAAATTACCGTCTCTGCTCAGATTTGGAGAAGCATCTTGACAGATGCCACTATCTTGTCTTTACTTTATTCCATGGTCTAAAAATTTTTTTTTTAGACCATGGAACAACTTTTCCGGTGGTGTTTAAAGCTTACCAACATCTCGACTAGCTCCGCTATCTGTTGAAGGCCATCGCCTGCCATCGTACCACTGTGAAGGTTTAACGAAAAACATCAAGCACTTGAAACGAGACTTACACGACCATAACTGCATGTGGATCTTTTTACTGTACATAATTTTCACAAACTTGTGGTTTTCTTTTGCTTCCCATTGACTCAGAGCCGTGGGAAAATATTTGTCCCCATTAACAAGGCAGTAAACAGGACCGTTTCCATCACAGTCTGTCAGAGTTTGGAGCGGCACGTAGTTACGGTTTGCATCACTATCTGAGGCCTCAGTAGCCGTTTTCTCCTCCTGATTTGTCTCATCTGGAAAAAGATGAGACAAATAACTACAAATATATACATTCACACCCGAGGGCACTTTACAGTGCTTAATAATATACTTGATAATCTGACATGCATGTTCCTGAACTCTGGGAGAAAACTGGAGTCTCCTGTAGAAACTGACGCATGTACAGGAAACAAAATAAAAACTCCTCGCCTCCCAGCTCTGCGTCCTAAAATTAGATTAAAATAGTCCCATTAAAGTTGCACTTTGAATCAGTTTTGGTGTCGCATTCATAGCAAAGACTCGTGAGCGGCATTATCGTGCTTCTCCAACTCTCGGGTAGTCATCTAAAATGTGGATGTAATCCTGTCAAATCTGAACGCATGATCGTGTTTTTGTAGGAACTAACAGGAGCAGAAAATTGTTTCAGAAAACACATTAATGAAGGCATAAATCATGACCGAAGCTGTGTATTGTCAAATATAAGGAGTTAAATATCAGGGGATTGTGCTGAATTTCACGACAATCTGATTTCTCATCAGCTAACAACTGTTCTTGTAGAGACCATGGGAATACTTTTTGTTAAATTTATTTTTTATTTTTTGTGCACTTCTCAAACATGGATATTAATCGCTGTGTACGTTTTTAAAGTAGGATTTAATTGAAATCTGGCATCAGATTCTAAGAATACAGTAAAACCAGAGAGACGAAGCCAGCAGTCAGTGCCACTCATCATCTTCATTAAGTTTCCATCCTCATCTCAGTGATTTGCCTCTTTTTTTTTTAATCTAACATATTTAAAAATATCTTCCTTCATACGACATTATCCAAATAACATGTTGCTAAACCTCAACTTTCTGTCCCAGCTGTGAGTTAAATCTGTCAAATACTGAAAGTATCAGAAGACTAATATCTCATGTTATAACTGTGCATTTTAGTTATAAATCTCTTTCTTGTCTGGTACTGGCTGTAATTGCCACCAGAGGGTGATGTACATGTACGGGTCTGAGCTGTACATTTTTCCTTTTTTTTGTGACAGATTTGTGTATTTATGTGCAGGTGGGAATAAAACCTTGTGACTACTATATGAATTTCTGAATGGAATGAGTGCCAAATATGCCTGAGCATGATAAATTGTGTTACTCAAGAGGAGTTGTAGGTACTCCTGACTCATGTTAAGTGAGGCTTGAGTGGCTCACCGCGGCCGAGGAAAAATAAAAAATAAAAAATTTAATGCACCGCTGAAGGGTTGATCATGCTCAATATTTTTGCTGAAAGTGCGAAAAACTTTTAAGAATTTTTGTCTTTTTTTTTTTTTTTTTTAAATGGGGAAAAAAAAAGTTTCTTCAAAAATATTTGTGGTATGTTTCTGTGTCCATCCATGGCTTAAAAATGCTGTCAGTGATGGTCTTCATGCGCCATGAGCAGTGAATATTAAAAGCTGATTTACTTTATTTATTTTGGACTTGGTAAAAAGAAAAAAAAAAAAAAAAAAGAACACATTTGGGTTACTTTCATTCTTGAATTATTCAGTTTTTGTGTGTTTCTAATCATCCCGAAAACAAAGTGAGCCTGACATTCAATGAATTTTATTCTGGATTTATTCAATTATTTGTCCAAAATGTAAAGGTAAATGTAATTCTAATATTAAAATAAAACTATGAAAATATCTTGCTGTCCCCCCACTGTCATTTTTTAAAATCTGCGTCCAAACTAGGATATTTCTTTGGTGGAGCCAGGCCTCGTCACATTCATTACTAGTTTCAGATGAGATTTTATTTCTTTATTTATGCACTTTATTTTGACTACAGAGCATTAAATTTCAATGGCAGTTCAATACTTGCACATAATTGCTTTACGTGCAAAGCAATGAAAAAGATAATTGTTCCACTGCAGCGATGTATTTCAGTCATACCTCAGAAATACCTCTGTTTTCAGGGAACGTGTTTTGAACTCACTTGAACCAGATCATGTTCAACTGTCTGCAACTACCTGTTTAACAAGACAAATGATCGACCATCCATGTAGACGACGGTTTTTTTGGCTTTGTTCTTAATTTCTTTCCTTTTTCCACAGTGCACGTCAGTCTCGGTGTGAACCTATAAACCATTTTAATAATTGAGCATACAGAGAGCATCCTATCATGCCTAGGGCATTAGAAGAGCCGACTTAAACAGTGTTCATATGTCTGTCAGGCTTAAAGGCCGCACAATTATTTTGTCAAAGGAGACAAAAGCAGTTTCTTGTTTTCACTTCAAAATGTTAATCTGGATGGTTTTAGTTTAATAATTAAAGCACTTTGTGAGAGAACACCTGGTAGATGCATAATGCTTGTTTAAGCATGGAAGCATCTCTTTGACTGTTGAACAAGTGGTGTAACTAGTTTTTGTTTTCAGTTATCACAACAAACAACTTGATCAAGCAACAAGTTGGTGCAGGCCACAAGGAAGTTTGTGACATTGCGTTAGAAAAGTACTTTTGGTCATGCATGTAGCAACCACAAACTTACTGTACTCTTTTCTTTACAAAATAGTTCAAACTAAGTGGAAAGCATCTGCAAAGATCACTTTTCAAGTTTTGCTCCAGATGTTCTTTTTTTGGTTTGTTTTTTAGGTCTGGACTTTGACTTGGCCATTTCTACACTTACTTTGATATAGACCAGGAATTGTGGAATCCAAGCCTCAATATCCTCTGTCTCACAACTTTTAGATGCTTCAGCACACCTGAGTCAAATAATCAAATCAATAACAAAACTCTGGAGAACTTGATTGCATATACTGAAGAAGTAATTCAGCTGTTTGATTCAGGTGTGATGGATCAGCGACCAACCTGATCCAGACCCTTCCTTTGTAACTCTGGCTGTATGTTTAGGATCCTGCTTTCATGTTTCCTCCAGAAAAACGAGACAATCTATGATGAGTCCTAATGGTGGATTGCTTAATCATATTTACATAATATTTGCTGTTAGAATCTAGCTTTTTGGGATGTACAAAAGGGCGAAAGCACAAAATAAACTGGCTAAATGACCAACCCGAGATCCATACATTTTTCATAATTTCAATGAGTGAAATACATTTGCTTACTATTTCTCTTTTAAGCTAAATTTTGTCATTCCATAAGCCCTAAATGTGCTAAATTGATAGCTTCTTCATTGCAAAACAGCTGATTGTAACTTGCCCATGGTTGTTCTGGAAATTCTCTTCAGAAAATCTACTGCACACAGGACTTACCTGAAACTTTAGCAGCTTGCTGATGAAACAGAGGAAGAGAATTGCAAATGTCATCAAGTGTTTTTCAGAAAGCTGGAAGACTGGAGGGTAAAGGGAGGTGCAGGACAAGCTTGTAGAAACTTGAATGTTTAAAATAAGCAAATCAGGAAAACATTTAAAAAAAAGGTCTTTATTGTTGGATGAATACATTTAAATTTATATAATCAACTTAAAGAACATTTTTTGTTAATCTGAAACACTTCCCAAACCTTTTCTGGCTTTGAGGGCACAGAGAGACAAAATGTTCTGGTGTTATTTTAAGTTTTCTTTTTTTCCTTTACAAAAAAAACGTCCCCATTTTTCTATGTTATTGGCTGCAAAAACATAGAAAAAATGTTTATTTTCTTAGCACTTGCCACAGAGTATAAAAAGCCACAAAATGCTTCACAGTGAAATACAATAAAACTGAATAGTAAAAATTAGTCAAACATTTGCAAACATCATACAAATGATTCTGATATTCTGTCATGTATCTGAAAGTTGCAACATCGTCGAGAACTGGAGCTTTGATACTGTAATTGACAAAACAGAAAATAAAACTAACAACGTACTTCAAAGAGACATATGGAGTGGAACAAATACGATGTAAAATAACAAGAAATTCTGTCTCACCATAGTTTTGTAGTCATAGATATCCCTCAGCCGTTGTTTAATGTTTGACAAGCAGTCGGTTATAAAATAACTCCGATTCTTTAAAGGAACAGTGAAAATAAATGTCCTCACAGACATGGAAAGAGATGTCAGATTTATTCATCCGTCTCAATTGAAGTATGTAAAATAAGAATCCAGAGTAACTGTGTGACAGGACGGTCACAGTCAGACCCGATCTGGTTTACGTCAACCTTGAAGCTTCTATTAGAGAAGGTAATAAGTCGGCCAGAGGGGCCTCTGTAATGTCTTCTAAATCACTTAGCTCTTCATCCAGCCACTGTCTGTTCTCTTTGGTTTTTAATAATCAAGGACAACATCCTCTTCTTCAAAGTGTTCCAGTTGCAAATGATGGGTGTTCCTGTTTGGTCTCTAACCATCTGCAGGCCAACTCTGCTGTCTCATCAGTGGTAGAGGTACTCTTACTGAAACATTAGTTTTATTAGCAGAACATTCCAAAAAGTAGACATGGCTTGTATTACTATGTCTACTTTTTAAGGGTAAGGTCACATATGGATATGAAATCTTTCTGAGTCCAACACTATCTTCAGTGTTGTGTTTTCATTCTGAAATTGTTGTGAACTCGTTTTAGAACCGTCTCGCTGTAGCTTACTATGAGTGATTGTTTCTCCGTCACAAGACCAATGATAACGCTTGAACTGCCCGGAAAAAAAAAAAAGATAAGTTGCTTTCAAAACCCCCATAAATGTCTATTTACTCCAGATAAGACACGTTATTAATTGCATTTTGTGGCATATGGCTGCCATAAAAACTTAATTATGTTGTTTATACTGATAATTCCGGGGGATCTTTTACGTTTGTTGAAAATAACAGCACAGCCTGCATTTTTATTGTACAACTTGATATTAGTCAAGTTGTATGTTGACTAATATCATTGAACATACATAGAGTTTCACAATATTTAAAAAAACAAACAAGGAATACAAACATTAAAGACTAAAAATACCTTCTAATATTTTCTATAAAATGTAACAAAATAATGGTGAAGAATACATTTGGACAACTCATTTATTCACACTTAAGTCTTTCAGAAGGAAGATTGTTGAAGCTTATGACTCTGCTATGATATTAAAGAGATTTGTCAGAATAAATTCAACATTCAACTGGCCCATCTCTGGCTGGACAAGCAAATGTATCTTGAGAGCAGAGCTCAAAATACCAAAGGAAGTCTCCAAAAGCCCTAAAGTGTCATCATTAGACATACAGTCTACTCTCGCTTTGGTTGATTTGGAAGTACATGGCTGTACATTAGCAATAGACTTCACAAGTTTAGCTTTCATTAAAGGTACATCCACAAATGGAGCGTCTTTGGCCTAGTCAAAGACCAAAACTTGATCCCATTGAGATGCAGTGGGGTCACTTGGAACAGGTTATACATTCAGAGGAAGAAACACAGAAATGTCCTTACTTTTACTGCAGAAAACACCTTTTTGTTGGTATCTTTTGTTTGATAAATATTTTCATCTTCTTTAGTAGAGATCAGACATTGCTAGACAGATATTTCATACTGAAGAACTGAAGGTTCAATAATGTATTTTTCACTAAACTGTAAGGACATTAAAACAATCACTTTCTTAGTATGCTCCATCTCTCTCTGTTAAACATTCTCAAAAATGTATTTTTTTTCTACCAGCTGACTCTAGATGCAGTTGGATGATAACATTTCCCTCTTTGTAGTACTAAAGGTGACGAGCAAAAGGTGCAGCTTAAATAATATAATGTTGGTGTGGAGCACTGGAAACATAAAATAATGAATCTTTGTTTTATGAATTCAACATTTAATAACAAATTTTTGCATTTAATTGTTTAAGAAATGTTTTAAACATAAATACAAATACAGTTTTGACTTTTGAGTTAAAACTATGTAAATGCAATCAAATTCAAAAGCAGGAATAAAATAGGATGTGCAATTACAGTATCTAGGGACAAAATGAATAAGAATTAAGAAGCAAATATTTTACAAAGAATTTTAACAGAGAATAAAAATCATAGACCTCTGAATATGCTCTCAATGCAAAATGACTAAATATTTAATGAGAAAAGTCATTCAGTTCAGTGTGCCTGATTAAAGTTGCATGTCTGTGAACTTGTATTTTTGGTCAGGCCACCTGCTTGAGCAGATCACTCGGTGACAGCTGTGCAGGGGTGTTATGAAGACATGCTCCGAGTTTTGATCGTCGCTTTTTTTGTGTGTGTGTGGTGCAATGTGACAACCTACTTTCAGCAAAGAGAATTTCTTCTTCAACTTTACAGATTAGATGCAGCGTTTTCTTTTCTGATGGAGATGCTGTTCTCTCCGAGTTTGCAGGAGGATTTCTCACTAGATTGGGGACTAAAACAAGCTGGTCATTTTCTAACAGACATTTTTAAAATCGGGATTCCTTATCAGGTCGCACTAAATTATGCTAAAGGAAGTTATAAGAATATTTTTTTCTTTCCATGTTATATTACAAAAAGAGAGACATTTGAATTACTCTTGAAAATGCTGTGGGAAAATACAATGAATCAACCTTCTGCCCACAGGTGATCTGTAGTAAAGTTTGCAAAGCAATTAAAACCTCCTTATCTGGAGTCCAAACAACTAAGCTGAGATATGTTTAACTTTATTGACTCAGTGGATTATCAGAATGTGGCAGCAGAAGGACAAATAAAGCTGTGGAGGAGTGTGAAAGGAGAAGTGGATGCCATATAAATCCTAAAAATACATGGATGCCCTTCTAGAAACACTTGG